CTCGAAAATGCTGAACTCGTATTTTCAAATCTGCAGGATCATTCTCTGAGCGATTCCACGTTATCTTAGTTGCTGTCGCATGAGAGACCTTGTTAAAGGCGATGAACATGAAGGCTCGAATGAGCGTGGGGCGGAGCAGCTTCACCGACGTCATTGGTGGACTAGGTTCCTCAGCCCACTGGGTGGACGTTGCTGGGACCTCCTCTTAATACCCTTCGCTACTTCCCACCATAGTGTTCAGCGTGAAAGTGGAGGTGATTGCGACATGGCAGTGCAGCGGAAGTGGTGGACTCGCAAGGCAGGTGGTGAAATCATTTTCCTGCTGGGCTCTCCTTTTTGCCCGCTTCAGCAACACAGCTAGACATTATTAATCGTTATTTCATGTAAGATGTGCCTACGGTTGCGTGAACAGTAAACCGTATAATTTTTCTATACAAAGACATGGCTAAAAGGTTGATGACTTCTCACAATAAACTTCAACGACAGGCTGACGACAGTGGTTAGCTACGATGAGAATACCAACTCTTTCGAAGTTTATTCAAAATCTCTGATTAGGCCGAAAATTTGTCGCCAAATAATATTAGTTGAAAAGCATTGAAACGATGACTGGAGGGTGAAGCGCTTCTGATGACGTCATTAGATGTTGCTGGTGGAAGGGCGTTAGAGAACCCGACTACACCCCCTAGCATGCAGCCCCTATGTAATCTATTCAACTAATGACGTACATACCGTTATCAAAACTACTCCGCCCACCAGCTATCCTGTCCGCTGCCTTTAAGCTCTCATGTACGATAATTTACCCTGCTTGGCCACATGGAACGTATACTGGGATCGCTTCTGGAAATCAAGGATGATAATGCGAAAAACTCTCTACCAACTGCTCGTAAACGTAAAGACAGTGGATAATGTCCAACGTTTGGACTCAGCTATGGAGTAATATGCATAACGAATATGCAGGACTTGCAGAGGGGAGGCATTTTTCACCGAAACTTGCTGATTCAAGCTAAAAATGTTCCCTGCCTTCAGTTCGATAGATTCGTTCCACCAAGATGCAACACGCATTCGATTAGAATGTTCATAAGATGCGGAAACAGGTATAAGCACAAGGCTGTTCATGGAGAGCTGAAGGATACTCACATAATTTTGTGATGCGGTGACGTTTCACTAGACGTAGACGTAACGTATGGTTACAGCAAGCTCGGCTCCAGTTTGAATAAGGTAAGAAAAGGAAGCCAGCTGTGGAAAACAAGAAATTTACAGAGTCTGTGTTGCACGCTTGTAGGATGAGTCTGAAGCGATGTCAAACTTGCGGAATGGATCGGCCATTGAGTGAGGCGGAGGCAAAACAGGGCCCGGTCCAACTAGAAAGCGAAAAAAGCTGTCGCGAATGTGGCAAATTGTAGCACCACAAACGTTCAGAGTGGGTTACAGGAGATCAAAGCATCTTGGACCGGGACAGCATAGATAAGGATAAAAAGGATAAAGCATTTGCCGTTGATCAATCCCTTTTTGGGATGCGGCACGCATTCTACTTCCATTTGTACATTCGTAGTGGCGTTTGAATGCGATGTGGCCTATACAATGACTTGCGGGGGCCAGCCGATGTACAAGTCAGTGTTTTTATCCTCCCAGACAAGTCTGGTACCAATTAACCGACCCCGGAGGGATGGAAGGCTTGGTTGGCCCGGGCGACTCACGACCCAGGATTTGATCCCCGGACCGCTCGCGTGGTAAGCGTGCCACTTGTCACTACACCACTTCCGCAGATACGAAAAAATACGAAAATCAGCAGCACCGACACGGATGGAAGTGAGGCAAAGGCTCATGGTAGGCGGGAAATGCGCCGATGTGGGCGGGGCGAAGCTACATGTTCACCTATGCACAGGTATTCACACATACATATGAACATGCATATGTATTCATGTGGGTATATATATGCGTATTTGCTAACTAAAATGTATTCGAAATTGCTGCTTGTTGCTGCCATGAGGCAGACAAGTGACGGACATTGGCAGGCGACCAAAAACTCATACTCACAAAGCAGTAATCACAGTACTGCCGCCACATGACTGAGTGACAATCTGAGCACTAGAAAGACAAAACTTACCCAAACATGCAAAGAAACCAAGAGCGCCTTACCTTTATGAATTCCAATTCAGCGAGCAGATGCTTTGGTGGATGATTGTGTTCGCCCTTGGTGACGGCTTTCTGATCATCCATTGTGGTTTCTGCCCGACACTTACACCATGATCCGTTGTCCGGAATCTTCTTAGCGCAGACACAACGCCATGATTTGAAATTTCGTTCAGGCATCACCTAAAATTTTACGGTCCCTTTCAGATCCAACAAATCCACCGAATTCCATAGAAAAATCTATTTTGAGGCATCAAACCTGATAAATATTATATCTATATCCTTGGAACATCAGTTTCTGGTAACCCTTGAAAGAAGTGACGATCTGAGGTATATCAGGATTATACCGTACAAATGGAACCTGAAATAGTTAAAGAATAAGAAGGCGTTAAACTCATATTGTTCTCATATGATAACAATGGTAAAGCGTCATTTGCTAGGGTTGAAACTTTGTCGCCTTCGGTAGTTCAAAGTCCCTGAACATGATGGCTAGGGGTGGAGCGGTTTGATGACGTCATCAGGCGTCATCGGTGGAATGAGCACGTCACTTTAAATCCTAACCTCTCTAAGAATAATGAGATTTTTTCAAATGAGGAACGAAAGAGGTAAAAATGCCAAGATACAGCCTCTTTCTGATGAACCAGCTGTGCCCCAACCATTGTTCACTTTTCTATTAAGTTTACCATTCGTAGAATGTCTCTCAGCTTTTTTCCAGATATTTTTTAAGAATGATCTTTAAGCATCACATCGCATGCTTGCATTTGTAAAAAAAAATAACTAGAAGCTGGTATGGATACTGAGAGCTTGATGAGCCACGTGAAGAAAAATTTGGCCGATAGGTACCAACTCCTCTTGAAGACTCGACCTCCATGAGCCCCACCCTCCAGTGGTCGACGTTGTCAGATCGTCGTTGAGCCTGATACCTTTTGACACACCTCCAACTCCGCCCCAAATCTCAAAAGTGAGTGTGCAGCGAGCCTGGAAGTGATCAGACCTATCCTACCAAACAGGATGACACCTCTACTCCCACCAAGGCAGACACGACCACATCTCAATGGAACTTTCTTTAGCCCCCCTTCTTCCTTATCCCACGACCCTTTTCCAACAATTGGTGGTGCCTGCAGTAGCTTAAGCCCTGGTGCTGCGTGAAACACTCCAAAACTTCCCTAAAAATTCTTTAAAAAATTTCCGAGATCTCCAAACTGAATTCGAGTGTGTGTAGGGAAGAGGGAAGAGGAGTATTTGTACTATTGAAACAGAAAATTTTATGATTGCAATTCTATGACTTCACGTTCTCACACCTACGACACCAACTCACACATCCACCTCCTCCCGTGGCGCAATACGACCGCTTTCAAGGAATCTCCATTCTGTCTAAAAGTAAGCTTTCACTTATAGTAGCTACTCAGTGCTCTGATAACAGCTATGACTTCTGTATCGGCGCGCAAGGGCCATTTGCCAGCAGTTTGGCGCTTGAACCTTTCAATCAAATTTGTTAGAATCCGCACACAGGGGTAATTCAGCGTCATGATAACGGGTATGAAACTCATTTTTTGTGAGAATATTTGAAGCAATTTGGCACCCAAAGAATGCCAAACTGTTGCCACGTGGTGCCATACTGGCGCCGAAAATGATTACCATGGTGCTACCAGGTCGCTGAATAACCCCCCCCTAATGATTTTTTAAGGATTTTCAGGTTTTACTAGTGATCATTGCCAACACCCTAAGACCTTCCTCTTGCTCAAATAGCTTTTTAGGAGCTGATACTGCCAGATGTCATCAACCGCTAATATAGTGAAGCTTGCAAGTAGAGTCGATTTTCATAAAAGACGATCTACTTTTCTCGAAACTCGTGCTCATTTAAGTTGAATTACTGTATTCCGCTAAATCTACTGCCTTACGTGCTCCATCCCCACCCCGCCCCCTTTAACGCATCCTTTGTTGGAATAGACCGTAAATGATACAACATGCGAGCAGTGAACCCATAATTTACTTCGCATTCCAAAACATATTCTGATCTATTGTAAATTTACTCCCTCTATCTAATTGCATTACCCAGCAGA